GAAGCCAACATTTCCCCTTTGGCTAGCTTTCCTAACCTCCTTGTTCACATTCCATTCAAAATTTTGAGACAAAAAAGAGTTGCCTGGGTGGCTTGGTTGGTTAAGCGTCTGACTTCAGCTCAGATCATGATCTCACAGTTCATGGTTAAGCCCCACATTGGGCTCTGTGCTGACAGATCAGAGCCTGGAGTCTGCTTTGGTTTCTGTCTCCCTCTCTTTCTGCCTCTCTCCTGCTTGTACTCTCTCTCTCTCTCTCAAAAACAAAACAAAAAAAAACATTAAAAATTAAAAAAACATTAAGACAAAATAAAGTTGGCAGTTGTTTTCTGATAGTACATTATGGGATATATGACCAAATTCAGCTCATGAGAAAAAAAATTTTTTTAAGTCAGAATTTTAATATACCTAAAAGGTTTTTGTGTCCAAGTCTGGAACAGATAAAACTATCCCTGGGAGAGGGGGCGCCTGGGTGGCTCAGTTGGTTAAGTGTCTTACTTTGGGTCAGGTCATGATCTCAGGGTTTGTGGTTCAAGCCTTGTGTCAGGCTCTGTGCTGACAGCTCAGAGCCTGGAGCCTGCTTGGGATTTTGTGTCTCCCTCTCTCTGCCCCTCCCCCACTCATGCTCTGTCTCTCAAAAATAAACATTGAAAAAAATTTAAACAAAAAAAACCTATCCCTGGGAGAAATAATTCTGAAAGCTGAGTTTTCTTTTTCCTTTTTTTAATTGCTTATTTTTAAAGAAATACTTTTACTATTTAAAAGAAAACAAAAATGCCACAGCTGTGGGATAATGATAACACATTGTAATTAACATCAACAGTTTGTATTTTTTAGTTGCTTCCAAAGTTCTTAGTTGCCTTTCAAGTCTCCCCAGAACAGAATAACCCCTGGTGGCACAAGAGAGTGAAGATACACTTGCTAGAGACGTGGCCCAGCGTGGTCTGTGGCTCTCAGAGGTGCTCCGTGTTTACCTTGGGTTTCCTGTCCTGTCCATCACACAGCCTCGGGGAGCATGTGTGGTTACTGAGGAACACAGCCCCAAGCTGGGTGGGATTGCGACAGTGGTGACCAGAGGGTGGAGGCACGACTTCTAACCCTCCAAGTGCCACTGCTCATGTCCTCAGAACTCTGTTTTAAAGACCCAGAGTGTTCCTTCCACTATCACCATTAAGAGTTTGCACCAGGACTTAGATTAACAGTCTCTGATATAAAAAAGTAACATGTGAAATCAATTTGTTTTCTTTCAGGCCGAGGGGGCCCAGGACCTTCCCAGAGAGTGCCAAAATCTGGGCGCTCCAGCTCCTTGGATGGGGATCACCACGACGGCTACCACAGAGATGAACCTTTTGGGGGCCCTCCGGGCAGCGGTACTCCTTCCAGAGGGGGCCGTAGCAGCAGTAACTGGGGTAGAGGGAGTAACATGAACTCTGGCCCGCCACGGCGAGGAGCTTCAAGGGGTGGTGGAAGGGGTCGGTAGAAGTTGGGGCTGAGTATCCCAAGGCCTCTCTGGACAGTATTTAAGAACTTCTTGTGGACTTACCAAGAGAAACAAAAGGAAGCCTGCACCATGTAGCCCTGAACTTTTTCTGGGGCAGCTGAAGCCCAGGAGCCCCTAATGAGGTCGAGATGAAGACTGCTGCTGGCGACCCAGAGTGGCCGGCCTCGTTCTGTCCTGTCCACCCTCACTGCCCTGACTCCCACTGTTTGTGAAGAGAAAAGCTGGAATCTTTTTTTTTTTTTTTAGGTGTCACGCGACATGGAGCCTCCACAAATTTAAGTTCATGTCCAATTGGAAATGTTTCTATATGTACAGTTTGTCAGAGAAAAACATTAAGTTGTTTTTGTATGAATACAGAATGTGATTTATGCAAGAAATAACAGAAAACTAGTTGTGAAATGCTTGCCTTAAGGAACCCTTCGTTCCCACCGCACCCAGGCTGCTGAGGGGTGTATAGTTACAGCTTGTATCTGTGAGCACACTTGATGGGTACCTCTAAGCCGTCGAAGTTAACTTTATCTGTGAACTTTGTCTTAAATCCTCCTCTACCTATTCTGTCACACTTATTTTTGTAAGAGTGAGAAATACTTTGAAACTATAACACAGTCTGATGTGGATCCAAAGCCTTAGCTACCCACCAGCTCTGGCAGGTGGAAAATTCTACTCCAAAGAAAAAAAATCTTCTGGCTGTGCAAGTAGGGGTTTGCCCTTGGGTGCATCTCCTGGTAATCACACTTAGACTTGAATTCTCTTGTTCCTGATGCGAGGAACCTGATGTAAGCCAGAAATTAACTACATGTACCCTTCTGATTACTGTACATCATGTCACAAATTGTTTAAGGAATAGACCAAATATCTCCTAAACAATTTTGCAAAACTTTCTCTCCTACCAGTGTTTAAGGCAGGGGATAGTTCTAGCTTAAAGCCAGGAAGTTCTCATCCCCAACAAACTCCTTTAGTTTTAAATAAATGTTAACATTTGGCCCGGTTTGGATTGGAAGCAAAAGTTCAGTTTTGATAACCCCATATTTTCTCTACACACACTTTGTTTTTTATAAGAAAACTATTACTCAAAGGATATTCCCGTGGCCGCCCTAACATCTTATTACTTTGCCAGCTTCAATTTGGTACTGGAGACCAGCTGACCTGGCCAGTTCATTGATGCTGGGAGTCTCAGCGTTTGCCTAGACAGGGATGCTGGCACAGGTGGACAGATAACAAACCCCTCTTAATTGGTTCCCTATCAATGTAAAACATAGCAAAAGGTATGTTATTTCTGCACACACACTGCTCTTCAGGGTGCTAGAACCTAGAGACTACAAGTGAATAATTTTCACTTTGTTTTGAAATATAAGGACGTTTACCAGCATGTCAGTGTAAACACACGATTAGGAGGCTCCAGAATGCTTCAAGTTTGTGGGACGTTCTTTATTTGTCCTCCACTGGCACAGCTTAAGAAGTTGTAATCAAATTCCGATAAACTAAAATGGGATCCAGGGACCAAACCCATATTGAGAGGCTTTTTCTGAGATTCATGTGCTAAGATCTTTACCATCGTAACATTTTAGGCTTCAGCTTTAAACAATACAGTACCTCAGCAAACATAACCACATCACATTTTGAGAAAGAATTCCTTTAAAAAAAACTGCAATCTTTACACTGTAATTTACTGAATACTTAGGAACTTTTAGAACATTACTACCAAGTACATACAAGGTATTGTGCTTTGAATTTTATAAACGCTACATTTTCGGTGTTTGAATTCTTGAGAAAATGCTGGGAAAACAATTAAAAAAAACCATAACAGCATCAACATAAAAATGGGCTAAACACTGTCAGATCTTCAGCTGTGCAAATTCTAGAGAAATTGAGAACTACGACAGAGATTTAACTAGGGGATAGAAGGAGCAGCCAATGGCACAAGTTTTTTCCAATTACAAAAAAAAGTCCGTCTAAAAACATGTGCTTTTACTACAAACACCCTCTTGTTTGTTCCTCTTGAGGTAGGTAAGTAGCCCTGTTTACTGAAAGGGGAACAAGGCAGTAATTCTTAGAGAATACTGGGGTGCAGAGCCCCCATGAAGTTGGGGCAGGGATTAGGACACTGATCAGGATCTAGGAATATAAATATTGAGCAAAAGGAGGCAATGCTCTATTGCTGCCTGACACACCTGTTTAGGCAAAGTGGAATCCAGCCCCAGAAAATAATTATTTTCAAACTGTGCAATCCAGTGCACAGAAAAGTAGTTCTCCACCTTAGCTGAACAAGGGAATCATCTGGAGAGCTCTAAAAAAATTACTGAGGCCTGGGTTCCCCGCCGCCCCTCTCCAGATTCTGGCTGAATTGATCTGGTTCTTCAAGTAATTTTGATGTGAACTGAGACCCACTGATAAAGAATTTGAAAATCCTAAGTACATTTACTTTCTAGTTAATATAGAGCTACTAACAAAACATGTTTTCTGGACTCATCAGAATACTGAGTCCGAACTTTTTGGCAATACATTAGGGTATGCAATGAAGTCAAAGACAAGAGTAAATGCTGAACCTAAGAGGCAACGTGTCAGATATGAAAAGCATCTTACACTGCATTAGAATCAGCCTACAAAATATAAATTGCACTTTAAAAAGCAGGTAGTAAAACTAGGAATGATAAATTAGGACTTGTAGAAATCCACGATTTCCGTCAAATACAGAACTTTGCATGTAGAAGTCTCTTGTCTGGCAGGAGTCCCCAACCCAGTTCTGCCCAGGGACCTCTCATAGCATCATCGACAGGTCATGCTTGGGGCATTTACTTTTTGGTCCATCGCTTTCATGTCTAATACAAAACCAATTTTTCTTCAATTTTATAAGGCACCATATTTACAATTTCACTGAAAAAAAAAAAAAAAAAAAAAAGAAAAGAAAAACCGAGGTAAACGGTCTTAACTAAAGTACTTAAATAAAAACCTGGTGGCTAAATTTAGTGTTTAATTTGATCCCTTAAGAATCCACTCATTGAATGAGGAAGAATAAATTTTCGAGAGCCAAAGAAAAGGGTATTGTAGCTAAGCTACTACAATCTACCACTGGATTTCTGAAACGACAAAAGGTAGAAGTCTGAGAAAAGTCACAAGGGCAGCTAATTAAAACTGAAGAGCCATTCATTTTTTACTGCGCTCAATCTAAGACCACGGTTAACGCAAAAGCAATTTACCGTGAGTGTTTCACAGCAGTACTCTCACCAAGCCAACCACAACATCCCGATTTCATAGCACATGCAACAGTAAGGCGGAAGACGCTGAAACCGAAAAGCTTCCGAGGCGGCTCAAGTCTCAGTTTTAGAACAGCTGCTCAAAGGTGACAGGTTCGGTGGCACAACAACGGAGCAGCCTCTACCCAGCGCGATCTGGAAGACGGCGGGCGCAGTCCTTGGCTCCGTCCGCGCCGCGCCAGGGACCGGCTCCCGGTGGTCTTCCGACGTCGCGTCGCGGGACCGGGCTCCGCGTCGCCTCCGTACAGGACCTCCGTCCGCCCTTGCTCGACAGCACGGGCCCCGGGGCTTCTCACACCGGCAGCGCCTTGGCGAGGCCGGCTCCCGGGCCCAGGCGCCCGATCGCTAGCCGCAGCGCGGTGACCGCACCTCGGGGCAAGAGACCGAATAGCACGGACAGCAGAGCGGCCACCTGCACGCAGGCGCCTAGCGCCGTGAACAACGTACTGCGCAGCCCGAGCGCCGCGTACAGCGTGGCGCCCAGTGCGGCCACATAGAGCAGCGCTGGCCGCGACGGCGTCTCCTCGCCGCGCAGCAGGCGCCCGCACGCCGCGCCGCCCCGCAATAGCGTGCCGCCAGCTAGCGCCAGCGCAGAGCCCAGGGACCAGAGCAGTGCGAACTTGCGGGCGCGCAGCAGCAGCACGGGCGCGTAGAGCGTGGCCAGGCCGAAGCAGAGCGCGGCCAGCAGCAGGCACACGCCGCACGCCACCAGCCGCTGCGCGCGCGTCACGCTGGGAAAGCACGCTGAGGTCACTGCCGCCGTTGGCTCCGCGGGGCTCCGCGCCCACGTCCAGCGTAGACCCGCGCGGCCCAGCCACGCCCCCGCCGGCCCGTCCCCCGCCGCGGGCTCCTCCGCCTTTTCCGCAGCGAGCAGCGGCTCCGCGGCCGCCAGCCCGCCGGCTTTCCCCTGCGCCAAGTACTCCTGCAACTGGCGATGGAGGTCCGCCATTTTGGCCGGAGCGGCCGCGAGAGGGGAAGACTGGCGCCGACTTCCGGTTTTTCTCGGTCGCTGACGGAAGCGGCTCGTCTCCAGATGGCTGTTGGTCGGCCCCGGCGGGGGGGCGGGGCCTGCAGCTTGCGTGAAAGGGGCGGGGCCGCCCCTCTGCAGACTTCTGTCTGGGTTAGCAGCGGCCCAGGCTAACTGTTCCAGGTGGGAGCTGTTAACTGTCTGGATTATGTCCTGTCATTAAAAGTTAGTTGTGGGGCGGGGTGGGTTGTGGCTATAAAAGGATACACGAGGGACCCTTGGGGTGGCGATGGAACAGTTCTGTATCTTGAGCTTATGGGTATCAGTACCGTGCTGTAGTTTTGCAAGATGTTGCCATTGGGAGAATCTCCGTATTACTTAACACTGTATGCTAATCTGCAGTTCTTCATAAATTAATTTTTAAGAAAGCTTAGAGCTCAGGACTTACGTGGTTTCTTTGGGAAAGCTTCCGGAATTGATAAATGAAGAGTTACCCCCCGCCCCACCCCCCCACCTACTTGCTTATCTTCTGTTCCCCATTTCATCAGAGGCTTCTTGACTCCTTCAAGACCTATGTGCAAGACTTGTTGGTCCCCCTGCCTTATATTTTTGGTTCACCTTTTTGTGCTCCTGGCGTCTTTGGGTCCCGGTCTCCTGATTTATGGGCAGATCAGTGATAAGCTTGCCCATACTTCAGTCAATTCCTAGATCTGTTCTGAGGTGGCTCCCAGGGATCCTGCTCTTCCTCAGAGCCTGTCTGGGGTTACTCACAAAGGTCACACCCAGCAGGTCTCCTCCATGGTTTCTGTGCTCTCTTGTTTCCACCTGGCTAATTCCTGCTCCTGGACGTTCAGATCTAGCCACACCTGCAACTGCCTACGGCTGACATTCTCACCTTTCCCAGTTGTGAAAGTTTATTTGTTTAAGGCTGTGCCAGCAACTCAAGCACAGGGTCTCTTTTGTCTCCCTTTTTCTAGGACTTGAAAGGCTGCTGCAAATGCACAAAGCTGTCAATTCTGGTGTAGTAAAGGTGCTTGAGAGGGATCTGGCCTGAAGCCATCGACTGAAACACCTATTTTGCTAGACTTCATAAATAGCTCCTGCAAACTTAAATATGATGATATGGAAGTCCTTTTGTAATGTAAAGGACAGTACCGGTAAGTTGTACAGCAGTCTGTTGTTGGGCAGGCCTTTGGCTTGCTTGCCCCAGAAGACCATTCGTACCCTACACTCCTTTGTACCGGGGATGAGAGGCAGTGCCTACCTCTATAGCTGTTCCCAGTAATCCTCTGTCACCTGGCTTCAGAGGCACTGATGCAGAGAAGCCGGGGTATTTTCTTTTGGCTGCACTACAGCTCCCCTCATCACCTTGGTACTAGCTTCCCCACAGTGACAGAACATGACGCTAGCTAATGGACAGGTAATGCTCTTTCCTCCTCTACCCTAGGAAGAGGCAGGTGTTCATGGCTTTCTGCTGGTGTCATCTCTGGCTTCTCAGCCTTTCTGTTACTTGTGTAACCGTTGTCCCCATTAAATTCTCTTTAATATTTTCTGTCTGATTGCATCCTGATATACATTATTCTTTCTCAACATACATTATGATTTGTTACCTCAACCTAAAGTGGTAAACTGAGGCAAGCTTGAATTATCAGAATTGAATTTATTTGGGAAAAGCAGAGGAATTACAGTTTGGGGAATGCAGACTTTAGCAAGCTACAGGTGACTCCCACTAAGTATTTGGGGTGTGGTGGGCTGTATTTATGGGCAAGGAGTGCAAAGATGGGGGAATCCAGCCAGAGTCCAAATGGTAAGTTCATTGGTTCCCAGATGGGGAGAGAGCCTTGATGGATGTTCCTTGGTCAGGAGATAAATTTCTGTCTTCTGTAAACTGAGGATTTAGAGGAAATCAGCTTTTCAGTTCTTAAGTTTTGTTTTCCTGAGAGCACGTCCATTTCCTGTCCTCTGGTTTCATTTTAGATTGAAATTCTTCTGCACTTGGTAATAATGGTGATCATCTTGGATCACTAACCATGAGCAAAACCATTAGGATGGCTACTATGAAATAAAAACAAAACACTGGGGCACCTGAGTGGCTCAGTCAGTTGAGTGTTCAACTCTTGATTTCAGCTCAGGTCATGATCTCATGATTATAAGATCGTCTCAGGTCATGATCTCATGGTTATAAGATAGAGCCCCATGTCAGGTCTAGATGAGTGTGGAGGAGCCTGCTTGACATTCTCTCTCTGCCCTTCTCCCACTTGTGGATGCACACACACTCTCTCAAAATAAATAAATAAACATTCAAAAAACACACCGAAAATAACAAGTGTTGGCCAGGATGTGAGCAATTGTAACATGCACTGTTGGTAGGAATAGAAGGTGGTACGGCTGCTATGGAAAACAGTATGGTGCTTCCTCAAAAAATTAAAAATAGAATTACTATGTGATCCAATATTCTACTTATGGGTATATACCCAAAAGAATTGAAAGCAGGGTCTTGAGATACTTGTACATCCGTGTTAATAGTAGCATTATTAACAATAGCAACCTAGTGTCCATCCAAGATGAGTGGATAAGCAAAATGTAGTGTATACAGACAATGAAATACTATTCAGTGTGTAAAAGGAAAGAAATTCTAACACATACTATTACATGGATGAACCTTGAGAAAATCGTGCTAGGTGAAATAGGACAGTCACAAAGTGGCCAGTACTGTAATATTCCACTTCTATGAAGTGGTCAGATTGATAGAGACAGAAAGAATAGTGGTCCACAAATGACTTTTTCCTAATCATTTATGCAGCTATGAGGTGCAGAAGACAGTTTACTCAGATTAGGGGAAACTGGAATACCAGGAAGTTAAATAACCTGCCTACCCACC